ATATCCGCGTGCACGTCTCAGGGACGGCCTCACGGCGGGTGGCCTCACAAAGGGCAGAGCTGCGGGATGGCGCCGCCCTCCCCCCGGGGGCCGCTCAGGGTGGTGTGGGGTGGTGTGTGTCCACAATGTGCCGGCCGTGTGGTTCTGTGCTCCAGTGAAGATGGCCCTGTTGTGTTGTGTTTCATCCTGGCTGTTTCGGAAGATGTGCTGGCCGTGTCTGGTGTCCCGTGGTTCCATTCTCCTGTGTCTGCACTTGGGTTTCCTTTATGGGCGCCGTGTGGGGAGCACTGGGAGCCCAGGACTCTGGGTGCACCCCCCCTTCTGGGTGGCCGTCTGAACGCTGGCTTCTGTCCGTCCCACTTACCCACATCTGTCCTCGGCTGTGGTCTGTCCGCCCTGCCGTCCATCCACTTGTGTTGTCTGTGAATCTGCTTGTGACATCTAGACGTGTTGTTTGGGTCTGTGTTCAGTCGACTTGGACTTTCAGGCATCTCGTTTTTGTTTTCTGAACCATGTGAGAAATATTGGTCCTGCATCCGATCCTGCAGGTATCTGAAGTCTCGGCGGGTTCAGTCCTGCTGTCTCATTGCTGCTCTCCGTCCTGGCGCCTTGTTTGCATGTGCACTTGTGAGTTTGGACCAGGAGTTGCCCCTTTTCCTTGGGACTTTGAGGGAGTTTTATGGGTCTTGAGATGATGATGGGTGTGCCGGGGACAGATCTTGCTGCTTCCAGGCAGTGCGAGTCTGGCGTGACCGTACGGTATTGAATAGAGGGGTTTGGGGTTATCCAGACTGATGCAGGCAGGCTGAGTGCAAGAACCCAGGGGAGGGTCCCACAGGACCAGCCAGGAGGGACCTCAGCTTCTCACAGCGTAGAAATCGACTGCGAGCCACAGAAAGTAATAGCAGAGTTTAGTAAATAGCCCAAGTGTCAGACGGAGAAGAGCAGACAGGGTGTCTGGAAGGCTCGGAAGGGAGAAAACAATGAGTGTCGTCCTTGCTCGGGGTTGGGGCTTCTTTTGGACAAGGGTGTAGGGTCTCTGCTCCAACAGTAATGCAGGGTAGCGTCCGATCAAAGTGAGTGTCCGGTGAATGACAGCTGTTAGTCTGCGAATTAAAGGGGACGGGGGGTGGGCACGGATGTCAGCCTCAGCCGAGGTTTGTTCCAGCTAGCGATGCAACATGGTTGGGATCTGGCTCTTCCGTGGTGTGGAGCCCAGGACAGAACTCAGAGAATGACCTACTGTCTCCCTCCCCCCTCGGACAGGGAACAGAGCTGCTGTGCTTATTCAGGCAAAACACGGGATGTGAGTAAATCGGGCCTGGCAGAAAACTGGCAGACCCAGAGCCGGATGGAGACCCTTGGCTTCCCTGCTCCAGGATTCTGTGAATGTGGTGTGCAGAGCCAAGTGATCGTCGGCCGTGGCCCGGAGTTCTCAGGGGAGGGTGGCCCCCGTGGCTCCCCGCTCCTTGATGCAGCAGCATGTGTGAGGCCCACCGTTTTCATTCCGTGGCATCAGGCGTCGGTGGGGATTGGTTTCTGGCTAATTCTTCCCACGGGGCTGCAGCTCTCGGGGACCCACACTCGGCGCCGCCCCGTTCCAGGACGCTGGACGGTGTCTCCTGACCCCTGAGCTCGTCGGCAACACTGTAAAGAGACGGTCATTTCAGCCACGCAGACGACACTGGCCTCACTGGGTTCCCCTTCCGGGTGTTTGTGGCCTGAGGAGGCCTTCCTCTCCTGCCAGGACATGGATGCCCTCGGCAGTATTTGTCAGGTATTCTGTGGAGCGTTTTCAGGGACTCTGAGCGGAAGCGTAGGTCTGGGCTCCTGGGATCTTACCCCGCACGAAGAGAGAGCTCACCTGGAATTTCCGCTGCCGGGCTAGACTCCGTGAGGTTCCTACAGAACGGTGTCGTCTGGCCTCAGACGCTGGCAAGGGCAGATGCGTGCTTGGTGAGCGGCTGGCTGTCGGGTCCCCACCTGCACCGGAGACGGGCAGGTTCCGGGCTTGGAAGCACGCAGGGGGACACAGCCAAATGTCACGTCATGTGGCCAGCACGCTCGGCGGTAGCAGCTTCCTGAAACAAAGGGAAAGGCGTGCTCCCTGTAGGAAACGTGCACCCCAGCAGCCTGTACCGCTGGGGGCCTGCTCTGTGCCGACCGGGGGGGGGGGGGGGCGGCCTCGCTCCCTCTAGTGGGGAGCGCTGACACACCTTCTGAGCCTGGTGAGCCATGGCGAGGCCGGTGAAGGGGCAGCAGGTGGGATGCGGGGAAGGGCAGGGGCGGGGTTCTGCGGGGAGTGCTGACCTTGTGACCTGGGTGATGGGGCCTCCGAGGAGCGGCAGGGCGGGGGAGGGGTGTTCTCTGTTCAGGGTGACCTCGTGAGCTCCCACGACCCGCCCAAGAAGGAGCAGCAGGGTGGCGGTGGGTGGACTTTGTGGCCGGCAGGGTCTGAGCGTGGTCTGGGATGAAGTGAGGGAGGGGCTGTGGGGGTGTCAGGGCACAGTGGGTGCAAAGGCCCTGAGGCGGGCAGTGACAGGTATGTGCCAGAGCCCCCGCACACCTGCCCCTCCCCAGGTGCTGTGGTTCTCAAACCCTCTGAGCAGGGACCCTCCTCCCACACCACCCCCAGTCGTGGGGGAAGGGGAGTGTGGCTCCCGTGGACGAGAGGCTTCTTGCTGGTGGGGAGACTGGTGCACCGAGGGGCGTGTTTGCCGAGCAGAGACAGAAACCTGTGGCCCCCAGGCTCCCGGGTGCGTCCGGCCTCAGTTCCTAGCCCCTTCCCACCCCTGCCCCTCCCTCGTCCCCCTCCCCTTCCCGTGTCTCCCAGGCTCCAGCCTGCTCCTTCCCTCCCCTCCCTCTGTCCCTAACCCCCCTCCCCTCCCCCCCCACACCAGACTCCCCTGGTCTGCATCTCTCCGTGCACTGCTGTGTGCCCTTGCTCTCTGTACGAGGGTTGAAGGCCCCGGGAGCCGGACGCTGTTATGTCTGATTACGCCGGCCCCCACGGTGGCTGAACAGAGAACACGTCTCATGAAAACGTGCCTAAGTCTTGGAGGGGGAGGCCTCTGAGCACCGAGGAGTAGGGGACGGGTCCGTCCCTGACCTGTGACTCAGGGGACACAGGGCCGTCCCTGACGTGTGACCCCGGACTCTGGGGACTGTCCTGACGTGCGACTGAGGTTGACGGAAGACAGTCTCTGAACTGTGACCGGGGAGCACAGGGACTGTGTGCTGAGCCGTGACCTGGGGGCATGGGAACCGCATGGGACTGTGACTGTGGAGCATGGGGACTGTCTCTGTGGCTGTCACGGAGCTGGGGCAAGGTCCCGCGCGGCAGGGTGAAGGATCCCGCGGGGACGGGGTCCCGCGCGGCAGGGTGAAGGATCCCGCGGGGACGGGGTCCCGCGCGGCAGGGTGAAGGATCCCGCGGGGAGGCGGTATCAGACGCGCGCAGGACCAGGCTTGCTGACAGTGTGCCGTGGCAGACTGTGTGCTCTGTGCCCCTGCACCTGTGGGCACGGCCAGTGGGCATGTGCGCTGTGCTCTGAGCGCCCCTGGGCACAACGGGAGGACCACCTTCTCCTTGCTGGGATGGGGTTGCTGTGCGGGTCCCCCCCTCAGCTGTGGTCACAGCAGGGCTTGGGCGCTCTGCGCTCCCGTCAGCCTCCCTGCGGGTCAGCCCCCGCCTCTGGTGCCCGCGGGTGTGCGGCTGTGTCCTCCACCAGCCCAGGGCTCACGGTTTGTGGCAGGCCCGGCCGTGCTGCCGGGTACATGGAGCTCAGCAGGCGTGAGCCTGCGTGCCCCTCCCCATCCCCCTCTTCTGCGTGTTTCGTAGCCTTCGTCCTCCCCGTGTGGACTCCCGCACTTACCTCTGCCCTCTCTCCCGCACTTCCTGCTAGGATGCTGGGCTGCCTCTGCCACGTCTGGTCGTGGCCTCACGTCCCAACCGCACAGAGCTCGGGGTGTGGATGGGAGATGCATCTGTGGGCTAGACTGGGCTCCCGTATCACTTCCAGCCGGGGTGGCCGATGTGCGGTTCTCAGCCATCCACGTCCGCGGCTTAGGGCGGCTGTGTGTGGTGGCAGGAAAGTTGCTCCGTCCTGGCTCAGCGTGGGACATGCCGCCGAGCGCCGCTGGGGGACCGTGGCCTGCAGAGACAGGGCAGCCGGGTTCACTGAGCGCACCCAGCAGTGCATCCCAGCCTCGGTGCCCCCACACCTGGCCCGGCACCCAGCTCCAGACCGACTTGGCGTGGATGTTTCCTCCGTGGTTGACCTGAGCAGTCACCTCTACGTAGGAGACTTCTGTGCCGCAACCCTGCTTTGTGTGCAGAGCAGTCTGCCAAGCAGCATGCCAGCACACGGCGGCCGCTGGGGATGTGCCGACGCCACGGTGGTGAGAAGGTGCATCGGACATCCGGCCACGCTGCCAAGGGTGGCGGCTCGGGCTGTGGGATGGCTTGTGGGTGCCTCGCAGAGAGAACCTCAGGCCACGGACGGCCCTGTTCTCAGCAGAGAGACACCCACAGGTTGGGGCGGTGGGTGCGTCCCGCTCCAGGACGGGTACCGTGGGAGCAGGTGACTCCCTGTGTACACTGTCCCTGCGGGTTCACCCGTTCCTGCATGCGATCGCCTGCCCGTTAGTGGCCACCTGGCTGGTCCTGACCCCCAGGAGGACTCAGGGCAGGTTCTCTGCAGGCACCCACGCCGGCTTCTCAGTCAGCCTGGGCATCCCCGGTTCCCGTCCGGAGGGGTCCTGGCCGAGGCAGAACTGCGGGAGGCTTGGCAGTGAGGGCCTGCGATGGAGTGTGGTGCTCACTGGCGGGTCGTGTGTCCTCCCGCAGGGACTGTGTGGAGTCGTGTGTCCACATTTGGGTCAGAGGTGGTGCTTGGTGCATTTACCTTTCGACTGGCTCACCCCTGCTAATTACACGTGAGCGTGAAGACACGGGACGCTTACAGGTTCTCACTCGGGTGCCATCTGTTTTGTCTTAGGTTCAGACGAAGAAGGAGGAGCCCCTGCCGCCCGCCACCAGCCAAAGCATTCCAACCTTCTACTTCCCTAGAGGCTGTCCAAAGGACACGGTGAACATAGACGCTGTCATCACCGAGATCGAGCAGACTTTCACACAGTTCCCGCACGAGAGAGCCAGGATGGAGGACATGGGCCGAGTGGCCAAGGTGGGCGCCCACGAGTCTGCGGACGTTAGCTGCTCTGATTCCATTCCGAAGCACAAATAGGGATCTTGTGTGAACGTTCGTCCTCCATCCTGAAGGACGCACGTCATGGGTCGCTGTCCCAGGTTCAGCAAGCGTTAATCTTCTAGGGCCCGTCCCCAAAGCCTGATCGCAGGCCTTCCGGTACACCGATGCGGCCCCGTGTGCCTCTCCCCGTGGGGCCCGTGCCTCTCCCCGTGTGACCCCGTGCCTCTCCCCGTGGGGCCCGTGCCTCTCCCGTGTGGGGTGCTGTTCTTCTGGAGCGGGTGAACACGCACCCATAGTCCTCTGTGCAGGACGCGGTGTGTGACTGTCAGCTCAGCTCCCATGCAGTGTGTGCATTGTACGGCGGTCTCGTTTGTCCCAGACGGTGTGTTCCTAGACTGTCCGTGTTCACACGTGAAGACGTGACATCGCCCGTTCAGTTTCTACGTGCCGTCCTTCTGGGGGCGTCCCCCACAGTTACGCGTCCCCCGCGGACGCTGTGTTCTAGGCCCACATCTCAGTGTGCACCGCTGCAGTGGGCTTGCACAAACAGAGGACACCTCAGCCTCCCCCGGTCACATAGCCCCACGTGGGCACGGTGGGAACACAGCGGCCCGAGCCCATGGCAGCACACAAGGGTTCCTGCTGGCCCAGCCCGTCCCCCTCTCCAAGGGGCCAGCAGCTACACGTGGGTGCCTCCTGGGTTGGGAGCTTGCTTGTCCGCGGGGCCTGTGGTGGTCGACCGCGCTGTAGAAAGTGGTTCTGAGTTCAGCATGCAGTGTTCACCAGTGGATTGTGTGTGTCCCTTGTTCATGTCCTCTGCGGCCAGTGTGCCCCCTGCTTTCCCTTTCCCTGTCCCTCCCCGACACTCTTCTCCACTGGAGCTCCTCTCCGTGCTCTGGAAGCCCGTGCTCTGTGCCTTGTGTGCCGTGCGAAAACATTCTCCTCTCTGGATGCTCAATAACTTCGTGCGTGTGCGGCGCGAGAACATCCTCCTCTCCGGCTGCTCGATGACTTTGTGCGTCACGGGTGCCTTTTGCTTTCCGTGTTTGGGGCTTGCCTTTCCGTCTGTCTCCCACCCTCGCAGAGTTCCCGTGCCACCCAAGCCAGCCATTTAAAGCACACAGCTCAGCGGTGTTTGTGTCCTCACCATGCTCCGTTTTAGGACACAGTCTCCCCTCTGAGAACAAACCCTGTGCCCATTAGCAGTCGTCTCCCTCCCTCCCTGCTCCGTAGGAAGCCACTCCTTTGCTTCCCGTCTCTGCATATCTGTCCGTTTTGGACATTTCGTACACGTATGGTTTCTGACACGTGGCTCCTTGCATGCAGCGTCTTTTCAAGGTTCGCTCGCATGGTAGCACGCATCTCCACTTCCTTCTTTACTCTTAGGTCCCATATTTTCCCATTCATCCACTCCTGCGTGTTTGTGTTGTTCCGGCTGCCGTGAACGTGCACGCGTAGGTGTCGTGTGCACACGTAACCTTTCTCTTGGGTCTGCACAGCCGGGAGTGGTCATGCAGGGTCACGTGGGACTACTGTGCAACTGCTTGTGGGACCCCGAGCGCTTTTCCGAAACACCTGCGCCATTTCCTGGGGACGCGCTGTGTCCACGTCTCTGATGAGAGACACTGACCCTGGTCTGTGTGCACTGGTATCTCATTATGGGATTGATTTGCAGTTTCCCTGCTGACGATCGTGCTCATCTCTTCACGTGCTTGTTGGCCGTTTGTACGTCTCTGGACAAGCGTCTGTTCGCATTCTTTGCCCGTTTCTCAAATGGTTGTCATTTCATTGGTGTTTTTTGTTTTTTTTTATTATTTTTTTAAATCTTTATATTTTTATTGTTATGTTAATCACCATACATTACATCATTAGTTTTTGATGTAGTG